GCACCTCAGAACGGCTCCTGAGCTGCCTTCTGCTGGACTGGCCACCCAGCCTGTTTCCAAAAGGGAACGAGTAGTGCTGTAGAGGCTCGGGGTGCTCATGACAAAGGCCTGAGCTATGTAACCTTAGGCAAGTAACTCATCTTCTTGTGGTTGCTGTTTTTTTTTTTTCCTTTTCTGTTTTGTTTTTAATTTATGAAATAGAGGGGTTGACCTAAATCAATAGCTTTTGATTATTTTTATTTCTCTGGTGGAATTCTTTTTTTGTGAAATTAAAGTCTTATGCAATGTCTAGTATATGTCAGATGAAAACAGACTACTCCAGGCTGAAGCAGGGGTGAGGACCCAGAGCTCTGTCCTCTGACCCCTTCCTCTCACCCCTGCAGTAGCTCCCAAAGAACCCAGGAAATGGAGGAGGCCAGTTTAAGAACCTTTAAGGTTCTTCAAGTTTCCTTCCAGGCATACAGCCCAGGGATTCTCTGACCTAGGAGGGCATTGAGGTAGGTCAGGGTAGGAGAGGTACACAGCCTTAAAAGCTGAGAATTGGGTTGCTTGGGGCCAATTTGTTAAGTCTACATCCGTAAACCTGTCCTACAATTAGTTCTTGTCTCTTAGGAAGGCTGTGTGAATGGTTAACTTTCCTAGGTCAGGACCTTTCATTACATGCCCTAAGGAAATACCCTAATTTTTGAATTTTACTAGAATAGGTTGGTCTGGGACTTGGAAATACTTTATATATATGAAAGAAAGAAGGTGTTAAACAAAAATTATGAGAAGCCATTGTTTTGGACTGAGTTCTTTCACTAGTCCCCAGCAGATCAAACCAAACCAAAATGGAATCACTCATGTTAAGTGCCACTTGATCCAGCTAAAACTTTAACAAAGCAGATAAGCAGACCAGTTATTTTTTTTACCCTGAAAACAGGAGATTCCAGCATAATCAGGAAGTCCCTTCTGCTCTAACCCTTATGAAAAAGTGACTTGATGCTAACCCTTTTTTTTCCCTCTATTGTTCTGTTTCCCTGATCCCACCTTTTAAGTCCCATGGTTCTGCTATTTCCCAGTGGAATTTGAGATCAAATAAGTCCATTTATAATGATGGCACAGAGTGATGGCAGTGCCTAAAGGGGGGAATTGTTAAATTAAGTTTGGCGTGAAGGTTTCTTCAGACATAGTGAGCTATAACTTAACTGATGTATAAACACAGTAATCCACTCTTGTAACAAGTAGCCAAGTCTCAGCCAATGGCAGGCAGCCAGCTGTTCCGTACCTCACTCCTGTTTTCTGTACATTACCTTCCTTTTTTTGTCTATAAAGTTTAACTAACCACACGGCAGTGGTGGAGTCCCTCTGAACCTGTTCTGATTCTAGGGGCCACCTGATTCTGAATCATTCTTCACTCAGTTAAACTCTGTTAAATTTAATTTGTCACATCTCTTTGAGAATTTGATCACATTAATTGTACAATTTCAGGACACTCATAAAACTTCTGAAGCTTAACTCTGGACCTGCTAGGGATTCATGATCCCAGGTCTAAAGGGGAAATAATTTTTTTTCTAAATACTAGAGTATGAAGAAGAGAATTTAAGATTTTTTTTAGAGATTAACAAGCAAATTTGGAAGTGTTTTGAAGTCATCAGGAGGCAGGTTCTATGCCCCAGGTTTTCTGTCCTGGATGGCTCTGGAAACACAGGTTAGTTAGGTGAAAGTCCAACACTGGCATTTCCTGGAAGGAAGGACTCTATGGACATGGTCCAGTCCTCTCTCTAGCTCCCAGCTCACTCAGCAATAACATTTAAATGATCCTACAACCCAAACACTCAACATCTGGGAAAACAAGAAAAGCTTGTTTATCTGGGCAGAGAGGGAGGGGGAATACTGAGGCAGACCCTGCAAGCACCCCTGTGACATCTGTTGTTCTGGAGAACTGGGATGTGGGGGACATGGCTGGGTGTTCCCTTAGTGAACTTTTCTTCTGGTCTGAAGGCAGACCCTGCAAGCACCCCTGTGACATCTGTTGTTCTGGAGAACTGGGATGTGGGGGACGTGGCTGGGTGTTCCCTTAGTGAACTTTTCTTCTGGTCTGGGTGATGGAACCAGGGGTGCTGATGAAACGTGGAGGGAAAAAAGAGGCATCTGTCCTCATGAAGCCCCAGGTCTTGCTGGCTTCTCAGTCTGTCCAGTCTTGCTTTGCTCTTCAGTAGCTGATGTTGGTCAATGCAGGCTGGCAGGGAGGCACACCCACTTCCCTGAAGCTTGCTGACCCAGCTACTTGAACAGAACCGTTGTTGAACTAAATCTGGAATGAATGTACTAATTTGCTGAATCATGAGCCCAATCCAATATGTTTTCCCTTAACTGTGAAGAAGCCAAGTTTACTTCCTTAGAAAGCTCCCCACCCATGAAGCAAATTTGAATTAGAATCCGAGCCCATTATTTTCTTTAATGATAGATGTGGCACAAAAAAGGAAAGTCAAAATTTCCATAGAAATAAACTGATATTTTGCAAAATCTGGAGTCCATCTTAGACCACAAATTCTTGGGGGTAGGTTGATTGTGTGGCTGTGTAACTACCCCCCACATGAGCAGTACAGGGTCATGAATAGGCTCTGAGGTTATAATCTGGGCCTTAATCCTGGCTCTACCATCTTCTTGCTGAGACTTTGGGCAAGTTCCTTAACATCTCTAAGCCTCAGTCCTTAGTATATAGAAAGCACTTGATAAACATTGGTGCCACTATTATTTTTAGCTGGGAAGTACCTGCCAATTTTGGATTAAGATAGTATCTCCTGCTCATGTGACCTCTGTAGACATGGGACTTTTTTTTTTTAAAAGTCACTGGCTCAGTAGTCTCTAGGGGAAACCCATCAAAGAGCCCCTTGTACCTAGCCTTTCAATGGCTTAGCTTTAAAGAAAACTCTCCTCCTGCTTATATATATATATATATATATATATATGAGATGAAAGATTCCATGTCAAAAATGTCAGATGTAGCTCTAGGAAGGTTGAGGGTCAGGCCTCATTAAGAAAATTTCAGGATCTCTAGGTCAGACAGAACCCTGAAGATTACCTAGGACCTTTGCAGTCTAAAGCTTGCAACCTGTTCATGGTATCCTTGACAAAATCTGAGTGCCTCCAGGGGTGGGGAAGCAAACTTTTGGGCGTAGGCATGCCTATCCATGTGTATGTCATTTATACTCATCTACTTCCAAAATGAGTGAGAGACATCTTACAATAAAATATCCATATAGGTATCCTTGACAAAATCTGAGTGCCTCCAGGGGTGGGGAAGCAAACTTTTGGGCGTAGGCACGCCTATCCATGTGTATGTCATTTATACTCATCTACTTCCAAAATGAGTGAGAGACATCTTACAATAAAATATCCATATGAAACTTAGTATATCCATACAGTAGAATATTATTAAGCAATAAAAAGGAATGACAGACTGATACAGGCTACAACATGGATGAGTCTCAAAAACATTATGCTAAGTGAAAGAAGCCAGACACAGAAGACCATATATTGTATGATTTCATTTGTAAAAAGTTCCAGAAAAGGCAAATCTGTAGAGAGAGAAAGTAGATCAATGGTTGCCTGGGGTTGGGTGTGAGAATAGGAAATGACCATAAATGGACATGAGGGATCTTACTGGTGTGATGAAAATATTTTAAACCTGGATTATGGTGATGGCTTTGTAACTTGAACAATTTACTAAAATATAGTGAGCTGTATCCTTAAAATGGGTGGATTTTATGGTGTATAAATTATACCTTAATAAAGTTGTTTTTAAAAAAATCTATATACAAGGGAACTTTTTAGATATGTATAAAAAAGATAAGGGCCATGTAAGGAATTAGGAGAGAATATGGTACAGCCAGACCACGGGTGCTTATTACAGAAGACAGCAAAGTTTAGCTCTTAGCTTACTTATGACCAGCTTTGTTTGAAAGATTTCTTCTATTTTAAAATGAGATTTATCTTCCTGTTTGTTTTACTTGTTGACCTAAGCCCTGCTTGAGGACCACACAGAACAGCGCTGATCCTTTTTCCACATGAAAGCACTGTACATATTTGAGAGCAACTTTATGTCCTATCTCAGTCTTCTCTAAGCAAAGTCACCCCAGTTCTGCCACCAGAATGTTGTGCACCTCTCTCAGGATCTCATTTTTCCCTTCCGAAAAATGTCAATAGTAGCTGTTTCCTCTTCCCCTTGGAGCCAGGGCAGAGAGAAATCTGGTATCCGTGCTCTGATCTCTTAGGCTAGGAAGGGCCTTATAAATCCCAGGAGGTGCTGACAGATACTTGGCCTTTCTGTGTGTACTTTCAGTTTTACCGATCCTTGAACATTCGGATTGCTCTTGTGGGCTTGGAAGTGTGGACTCACGGGAATATGTGTGAAGTTTCGGAGAATCCGTACTCTACCCTCTGGTCATTTCTCAGTTGGAGGCGCAAGCTGCTCACCCACAAGAGCCATGACAATGCACAGTTAATCACGTGAGTAGCCTTTGTCCATATGTGTTGCGCTGGCCTTGGCTGCAAAGCCTCTTTGTGCCCAGAGCTTACCCCTCTTTTTCTCCAGTGCTGAGTGTAGGTTGTCCAAGGCCATCCTGACTCCCTGGCCCAGACAGTCAGGCATTTCTCAGACATGTGCTTTGTACCCAGCACACCTTGGAAAATATTTAAAAACCTAGGAGTCGTAACAGTCCTAAGAAGTGTCTACAATCTACATGAGAAAATTAGATTTACCTACGATCAGCTGAGCATCTGAAATAGCTGAATGAGTATCTGGGAAGTGACTGTTGGTCATGGGACACTTTGAAACAGACTTTCTAAGGGGCTTGATACTGGCACTTTGTTCTGACATGAGCTGATCCCCCAACACAGGCACAGGGGAGCGGCTATCTTTGGGTCGTCCTTCACTTGGTTCCCAGGGGGCTCAGGCCTGAATACCTGAGGTAGTCTTAGTGGCAGATGGTGCAGGAGCTGTGTATTTGGTGGTAGAGAGACATTGGGGAGGGATTGTGTTGGATTCTCATCAGTCCAGGAGAGAAAAGAACAAACAATGGAAGTCATGGTGGTACGCGACAGTCTTCTAAGGGTGAATTTTTGCTGTTTATTAATGTTGACTGTCACAGCTATTTTGAGACAGTTACAACAGAAGGCACATAGATAATGAAACCATTTTTCATCTATTCCCTAAATACAAGTATAGCTCTGAGTCAACAAGCATTTAAACCTTGGTTTACCCTTTAAATGAAACCAGGGAAAATAACTGTTCCAAAATCCTGGGCTATGAGTTGTTACTTCATGATGGTACAACTCACCTCGAAGAGCTTTTGGTTACCAAAACTTTTGTCTTGAACTTTGGAAGTATGCATCCTGCTTTGGACAAGACCTTAAATCTAGGTTTCCAGTAGGACTTCCTGAAAGCCATATCTAAGTTTATAAAATAACCAGCCAGGCTGGTTGATATATATCTTTCATATTTCTTTGCAGATTGTTTCTCTTAAGATAAGTCTGCCTTGAATTCAGCAAACATTTATTAATCACCCACTATGCATCAGATTCTATCTTAGGTTCTAGTGATCCCAAAACAAGTAAGATAGTCTCACTTTCAAAGATAAAATGTTCTCAGTGAGAAGACAAACATGGACATAAGAACTACATAATGAATTTCCATATAGACCCCTTAAATAGATTACATGTTTGTGACATGCACAAAATCACTGGTATTTTATTTACTTCTTCTCCCTTATCCTGGAGGTATACAGCTGAGAGGGAGATGTGTTAAACTGGGGAAAATGTAGCTGGCTGTTGGCTGATTAGGACCACAATTGTAAAACAAGGGCAGAAACTGCTAATCCCTGTACCCGGCTGCACTCTGTGAGGCTCCTGATGGGACACAGCTGTTTCCTCGACCCCAGAGTGATGTGGGAATGAAGCGTCAGCCCCACAGCTGCTGTCGCAGCCCTTCCATCCCACCCCCCAAGACACACACACAGAGCTGGGGGCCCCAGCAGCTGGCGGAAGTGGGCTTGGCTCACTTCGGAGTCAGGACCTGTGCCACCCCCCATTGGCCCCTCCCTCTGACCTTTTCCTGTGCAGCAGGAATGGGATGCAGCTCTGCGAGCCCTGCCCATTTCCTTCCATGGAATTGACTGTGGGCATATTGTGGGAAAAAGTGACCTTTGGCTCTCTCTTTCTGTCACTCTGGAGCAGTGAGGGAGTAGGTGAGAGGAAGTGAGATGCGTGGCCACCTGGGAGGTGTCCAGTCAGCCCGGATACTAGGGCCTCTTCCCTTGGGAATGATCTGGGAATGTCAGCAGGGCCAAGAACACCGTGATGGCCACCCACTCCTGGGCACATTGCAGCAGTCCTGTCAGCCCCTGCCTGAGTCATCTGTCTCCTTCCCCCTGCAGCGGCATGTCCTTCCACGGCACCACCATCGGCCTGGCCCCCCTCA